CTATTCGGCTAATGTATTAGTGTTTGGGAACTGCATTGTAGAAGAGCTTTTAATGGTCTAAGAGTTTTTTTTTTTTTTTTTTTTTTTTTTATCTATTTGGCTAAAGGTTACTAAAACTCTTCTACTACTAACATAGTTATTTTGCCCTTCATTCAATTTATCAAATTTATCTGTAACAAGCCATATAATAATAATAAAGATAAAATGATCTAAATAACAAAATTAATTCAACTCTAAAGAAATTATACCTACAATCAATTATTTAATTATTTTTCTTTCCTTATTTTTTTTTCCAACATAATATATATTTAACTTATTTTGTAATTGTTTTCTTCTATAGTGTTTTGATAAATTAAAAATTGGAAGGAAAAAAAAAAAACTAAGGCTTTCCATATAAGTTCACTTTTTCCTAATTCAATTTTGAGGTGAAAAAAAAAATATTAAAGAAGGAATTTTATTTTCTTTATTTTGTTGGCAGTGATCTACGTCTTTTATTATGCCTTAACCCTGGAGATTTTTTTCATAACCATCATCAAATAAATCATATAATATCTATACACATATTATGAGCCTGTTTGGCTGGGCTTTCTGTAACCTCAAAATGGACTTCTAAGTACAAAAAGTCATTTGCCAATAATAAAGAGCGTTTGGTAAAATTTCTGAAATGGACTTTTAAAAAAGTCTCAGTGGTTTAGAAGCCCGATTGACCAAAGCCAATAAAACATGCTTCCTAGTCGACTTCCCACAAACTACACACTTTTTTAAGTAATAAATATAAAATTCCAATATTGTCCATTATTTAACCTATTTCTATTTCTGAATTTCATTGCAAACTTTTATCTTTCTATTTTTGCATCACCTTCTTCCTTCGTTCTCTACCCAAAAATTTTAAAAAATAATGCTGAGCAAAATTTCACAAAACTTCATTGAAAAAAATATTATTGAAAAACAATTCAACAAAGGAAGAACAAAAAGATTGAGCAGTTGCAGGAAAAAATAATATTGCCTCCTATTTGACTTCATAGTCTGAAGAGTTCCAAGATTTATAAACTCTCATCCAAACTTCAATTCTATGTAGAATTCTAAATAATTTTTTTTCCTCTCAAAAAAAAAAATATATATATATATATATGTATATATACACACACACATATATATATATATATATATGTGTGTGTGTGTGTGTATATATAATTTTTTTTTCTTTTTTGAAGACTACCCATTTCGCTGTTAAAGTGATTTATAAATATAAATAAGAATAAAAATGGAATATTTTTGCTACCATCTCTCTCTTTTGTTTATTTTTCTTTCCTTTTCTTTTTTCTATCTCTTTCAACTTCTATCATGTAGTCAAGGAAAAAAAAAATTATACCATGTAGATTGGGTTAAATTTGTATATCCTGATCTTCACTATGCCAATTAATCGTTGCTGTATCATTAGCAATTTCACTCCATCACTTTAATTATGATTTTTTTTTCTTTCCTTCTTTGTACATTCCAATTCAACTATTTACTATTATTCATGGTTTATTAAGGATATAATTGTCAAGTTAAATTATGTTAATAGTTAAAATAGCTTCAAAAAATTTATCCACCAAACAACTTTTTTGTTTTAAATTCTTTTTATCAAAATGCATTTTTTAAAGCCAATTGAGTGGAAGGAATTTTAGAAAGTGAAAGCTCCGACAAACAAGGCCTATATCTATACACATATATTACTTGTATATACACTCACAGCTTCACAAGCAAAACTGAGACAAAATAAAATTGAAGGGAAAAAGCATATGATGGATGGTAATGAATATGAGAATAGGCAAAAAAAAATTTAAAAAAAAATAATAATAATGAATTACAAACTGCAACAGGCATATATATATATATATAAGGATGACTTATTCATACCTAACACAACGAGTGTAGTGGTGTGTAGTCGTGTGATTGAGTAGTGTACGCGTTTTAGTCATAAAATTCTTGGCATCTACAATAAGAACATCGGGTAGAGACAGGATCAAAAACACAGTAAACACCACACACAAAACCATCCCAAAACTAACACGCACCTCTTATAGTCAAAATCAACAGTCTTGATAATCCAAAGAAAAGGTGCCAGCTAAAGAAGGACAACCACCACGACACCAAAAAAAAAAAAAAAAAAATTACTAGATAAAGACCCCATGACGTCATCCATGACGTCTGTGGTGATCCCACCAAAAAAACCACTGGCGAGAGGACCAAACACACCAGTGCAGGCACTAGAGACGGCGGACGTCGGCAAAGGACGCAGATGCATCAGATCCACTCCCAGTGCAAAACACCAAAAAGCTCTATAAATGAGTAGACAAAAAAACCCAACTCCGGCGACCCAGCAACCATCGACCTTCGAAAACGGCGCAGATCAGGAGATCGGAAACATAAACTCACAATGAAACGTGAAAGACGCTACTCACAGCAAAACCAAAACGACAGTGAGGAGAAACAACAAAAACACGGCGTGAATCCATCCACCAAGCATACTATGTACAGCACGCTGAGATTATTAATTAGTGGGTCGCAGGGATCAGCACCTCCCTCTCTCTCTCTCTCTCTCTCTTTGTGCAACTGCAAACTACAAAATCTACAAGACTCAGAAATTGTTCCAGTTCGGGTTTGCCGTTCGCAAGCTTCAGCCGCTGTCTCTCAACTCTCAAGCTTGCCCCCCTCTCTCTTCTACAACAGCTAACTTGTACGTATGGGTTTTGTTTTAATTTTTTTTCTAAATCAACTAATCAAGGTCAGTAACTCTTGTTTTGCAAACTAAATCCTATTTGGTGAAATTTTTTATGATCTATTTTTAAATATATATATATATATATATATATATATATATTCAGATATATATAGCAGTAGCTATTTGTTGTGCCACATTATATATATGTGTGAGATATATATTTTGTAATTTTATTTCGTTGTCAAAATAAGACCGATCGAGTTGTAATTTTTCGGGTCCAAGGTTAAAGATCGGATGCGGATTTGAAAAAAGTCAAGTGTTCATGATATACTACACTCCGAGATAATGAGAACGATGATCTAAGAAGGTAGAGAGGTAGTGAGAACAGTTAGGAAGGGTTCTGAAAGGTTTGGAACAAGTTTAATTGCAAAATTTCAAGACTAGTCATCTTGAACCGGTTCAAGAGGGCTGAGGGCTGAACCAGTTCAAGAGGGCTGAACCAGTTCAAGAATCCATGGGATTCTTTACTGTCCATCTTGAACTGGTTCAAGATGGCTGAATCGGTTCAAGAAGTCCTGGATGCATTAGGTTTCCAAGTTTCCATCTTCTAATGTTTCCTTTTTTATCCCAGCTTCCTTCCAAATCCTATGCACGAAATTTATCATATTTTCTGAGGGATTAGGACTATCAAAACTCTATATAAACCATGTCATATACATTGGTTGATGGACGGCTTTAGGGAAAATCAATTCTATATTTTGAGAAAGCATTTAGAGAGAGAAAAATATAGAAAATCAAATCTAATTATTCTGAATTAATTTTTGAGAGCACACATATTTATTCATGAGTGATTTAGTTGTAGTGTTCTCTATCTCATCGAAATTGGAGCTGTATTGAAGATTCAGATATTCCGGATGATCAGCAGGATTTAATTCTTCTACAATCAAGTTCAAATCTTGAAGAACAGAAGTAAATGCAGTCACACTTTGGAAGGGTTAGAGCATTCGTGGAGTGCTGTCTGATCTACCTGCTACTCTTCTACAAATATTAAGTGTAAGCCTAAGGTCAAGTTGCTGTTGGACGGGGAGTCGCAAAGCCAGAGGGTCGTCAATGATTGGTGTGGTGTAGAACAATAAGGTGTGAGCCAAAGTCAAAGTTTGGTATACTTTGTTTCAAACATAGTGGATTGGTTTACTTTGGACTACACAATCCACGAGGTTTTTCCTATAACAGTTAACATATTTTATCAACTGTGGTTTCCTCGCTAAAAATCCTAGTGCAGTCTCTCTAACTCTAACTTGCTTTACTTTTCATATATTTGTGATTGTGGATGTTTAAATTGGTCATATAATTTAATCAATCATAAATTAAGAAAGTTCACCTAATAATCAGATCTAGGTCATTAAAGGAGTTAATCATTCACAATTTGGTATCAGAGCGAGATACTCGATATATAGAGTAGATCATAGTTGTTGATTATTTGTTGATTTTTGTATCATGTCTGAAAATTCATCTGTCGAGGTGTTGCCTTTAACTCCTGTTTTTTATTCTGTCACAAGCATGCAAATTGAGTGGTCCAAGTTTAAAAAGGATTTTGAAATTCTGTTAGAGATATTGAATCTTGCAGAACTTGATAGAGATATTTATAAGTTAGAAGTTTATGTCTCTAATAAAAATTTGGAATAAGTTGGCCATAAGAATTTGAATCTTCTTCATAAAATTGATTTTCTGGAAAAGGAGTTTAATAAGGTAAATTTGTTTAATAAATCACTGGAATTTAAAATTGATAATTTGAGTAGTGAATTTGTTAAATCAAAACAGCCTTTTCAGAAAGTTGAGATTGATACTTATAAAATTGATACGTTGAAAGGAATAGTTGTGAATACTTGTAGTAACAAAGAATTGGCTTCAACTTCAAAGGATTTGTATTTACAAAATTCAAAAGATATTTTTGTGAAAGTTGATACCGAGCCTTGTGGTATTTCTAATTCTCCTAAACTTATTTCAACATGTCATTTTTGTGGTGAAAAAGGGCATATCAAATATAAGTGTCAGAAAAGAAAATTTGAACTAGGGAAGTAATTGAAAAATTTTGAGAGTTCAAATTTGAGGAAGAAGAGGATTAGGACTATTGAGCCTTGTGACAATTTTCCTAGAACAATAGGGAAATCATTACATAATGAATCTAAAATTGTTTGGGTAAAGAAAAAGAATTTTAAGTTTCTTGCCACATACTGCACTTAGAGCACTTGGTCCATGTGGTTGGTATTGTGATAGTGGTTGCTCTAGGCATATGACAGGGGATAGAACATTGTTTACCACTTTTAAGGAATGTACAGTTGGTACTACTACTTTTGGTGATGGTAAAGCTTCTATTGTAAGTGGTAAAGGTAAGATCAAATTTTCAGAAATTGGATGTTCTATATGTTAAAGGTTTAGCTACTAATCTGTTGAGTATTAGTCAAATCTGTGATGAGGAGTTTCAAGTGAATTTTACTCAACAAGGGTGTTTTGTAACTAATAAAAAAGGTGAATGCATCTCGAAAGGAACCAGAACTTCTGATAATTGCTATGTTGTGTTTTCAGATTCTTCACTTATGTGCTTTTCTACAGTTACTGATGAGACTGTTTTATGGCATAAAAGACTTAGACATGTGAATTATAATGATTTAGTAAATTTGTCTAACAATGATCTTGTTCGAGGTTTGCCTAAGTTAAAGATGCCTAAGAATGAAATATGTGGTCCATGTCAGTTAGGAAAACAAACTAGAGTGTCACATAAGAGACTTATTCATAAAGTTACTACTCGACCTTTGGAATTGATTCATATTGATTTGATAGGTCGCATAACACCTAATAGCATTGGAGGAAAAAGATATTTGCTTGTTATAATTGATGATTTTTCTATATTTACTTTTGTTGCTTATTTGAGAGAAAAATCTGATACGTTTGTGAATTTCAGGTCTATTTGCCAACTTATTCAAAATGAGAAGGGATATTGAATCAATCAAATTAGGAGTGACAATGAAGGTGAATTCGAACTTAAGGAATTTATTGAATATTGTGATAAGAATGGCATTAAGCATGAATTTTTAGCACTTAAAACACCACAACAGAATGGTATAGTGGAAAAGAAAAATAAGAAAATTGCAGGTATGGCACGTACTATACTTCATGAGAATAAAATTCAAGTCATTTTTGGGCTGAGTCAGTACGTATTGCTTGTCATATCCTAAATAGAGTTTATCTTAGGCCTGGAACTAACAAGACTTCATATGAATTGTGGTATTATAGAAAGCCCACTGTTAAATACTTTAGAGTCTTTGGAAGTAAATGTTATATCCTTAGAGATAGGGAACACTTAGGAAAATTTGACTCTCGAAGTGATGAAGGTGTAGTTTTAGGTTATTCACTAATAAGTCGGGCTTATAAGGTTTTTAATCTTAGAACCAAAGTGGTCATGGAGTCTATAAATGTGGTTTTTGATGATACAAAATCTAAGATAACCTCTCTCAACTTGATGAAGAAGAAACTAATTTTGAAATTGTAGGAGAAATGAAAGAACTTGCAATTCAAAAAGAAGAAAGAGTTGAGGATAAAGGTGGAGAAAGTGAAGAGGGTGAAGAAGATGAGGATGAGGAATTAGAGGTTACCACTGATGAACCTATAGGAATTCCTATACCATCTCTAGATATTCCCACATCTAGCAGTTCTAGAGTTAGATTAAGTCACCCAATTGACAATGTGATAGGTCCATGGGATAAGCATGGTACTAGGAGTACAATCCATGATGATGTAGGACACTCATGCATTGTAGATGATATTATTCACTCATGTCACATGGCTTAGTTTGAACCTAGGAATGTTGATGAAGCTCTTTAAAATTCTGATTGGCTTATGGCTGTACAAGAAGAATTGCTTTAATTTGTGAAGAATGATGTTTGGGAGTTAATGCCTTGACCTAGTAATGTTAATATCATAGGGACCAAATGGATCTTTAAAAATAAACTTGATGAACATGGTCTTATGATGAGAAATAAAGCAAGATTAGTTGCACAAGGATACACTCAAGTTAAAGGAATTGATTTTGATGAGACTTTTACACCTGTTACTAGACTTGAGTCTATTCGGCTTCTCTTTACTCTTGCATGTCATTTTAAATTCAAATTGTTTTAAATGGATGTTAAAAGTGTTTTTCTAAATGGTATTTTGCAGGAAGAAGTTTATGTAGTACAACCAAAAGGTTTTATTGATCCATATAATCCTGATTTTGTTTTTCATCTTAAAAAAGCTCTTTATGGTTTAAAGTAGACACCTAGAGCATGGTATGAGAAGTTGACTTTTTATCTATTGCACAAGGGTTTCAAAAGAGGATGAGCGGATAAAACATTGTTTATTTTCAAGAAAGGAAAAAATTTTCTTGTTGCTCAAATATATGTGGATGATATTGTTTTTGGTGCTACATGTGATAACTTTGTTCATACTTTTTCTACAGATATGAGTAAAACTTTTGAAATGTGCATGGTTGGTGAATTGACTTTCTTTCTAGGTCTCCAAGTGAAACAACTTGATGATTGTAATACCCCTAATTTTAAAAGGATAGTCTTGGTATTTAATTAATTATTTAATTATATTTTTACTTGATTATTTGCTGATTTGTTTAATTGTTTTTATTTATTTGAATTAATTATTTAATTGTTTTATTTAATTGAATTAATTATTTAATTATTTTATTTAATTGAATTAATTGTTTAATTGTTTATTGAATTGAATTACTTGCTTAATTGTTTTATTTAATTGATTATTTGATTTATTTGTTTATTTACATTTATGCTTAAGTGGGCTTAGTTTAAATATGAATTAAATGTATTATATAATTCTAGGGTTTTATATTCTTCACGGGTTAGCCGACTCGTGTTCGCTTTTCTTTTCATTCCCTAAGTGTAATTAGAATTAGGTTACCCTAAGTTGGTCTATAAATATATCATTAGTGGTCTGCCAAGGGTTTAGAACCCTATTCCCGTAACAGTGGAGACAGAGAGAGAGCAGTGAGGTTTGAGAGAATAGAGAGAACCAGTAGAGTTTCGGCTGTAGATTAAAGGACGGACCAAGGAGGAGGGAAGGTATTGCTTGTGGATGTAAACCAAAGCAGTAGGAGGTCGACAGTAGATGGAAGTTGTCGGAAAACTTAAGAAGACGACGCCGAGATTTTAATTCAAAATCTCATAGGCGAGTTTTATTCTTACTCTCTCCCCTTGACCTGTGTTCTGTGCATGCCTAGATAATCTCTAGGATTTTAATCAAACATTAAATTAATCTTGTATGCTTAGTAAATCAAAATTAAACTGTGTATGTGTTGTAAATTTAATTTGTTTCTTCGCATCAATTGTTTTCTCACATGTGTTCTAAGTTTCTATTAATGATGCATACTAGAGTTTAGATGTTTTCTGAGAAATTTTGGGACATGAATTGAACCCTAGGAATTGTATTAGACATTACAGAGGGTTCTGCAACATCGTCGGAGGCGAAGAAAATGAACCAGACGAGTAAATGGCTCTCGGTGTGAAAGAGAGCCGGATCCCTAAAGGAGGGAGCCGGATCCCTAAAGGAGGGAGCCGGCTCCCTAAGTGAGAGAGCCGGCTCTCCATGAGGGAGAGCTGGCTCCCTTGCTGTAACACCTCTACGGGGTGTATTTTTGTTTTTTTTTTGGATTTCAGGGGCTTAAATGTAAATTCCAAAAATTAACAGGGGGTTTTGAATGATTCAAATTATCTTGTTGAAATCCTAAAACAGTTAGTATATGCTAATATGCTGATATTACTGGACATCATGAAATTTAATTAATTATTTGCATGCTGTCAGTGGATGTGGAATATTTATTTACTTATTGTTGTTCTAGCAAGTTAATTGGATTTGTATGATTATACCTAAGTATAATTGAATATAATATGCTCAGTTGGTTACCTGATTTATATTATATCATTCCCTGGATTTTAATTGACGCTCTATTGAGTACTATTTTGTCAATTATTGGACTGTCTTGTGGATTAATTGAAGTTTAAATCAAATTATTTATATTGTCAATTACATGGATGTTATTCTGGATGTTAATTGATGAACCATTAAATTATGTTCTGTCAATTATATGGATGTTATGGATTGTATGCACCGATATGGGACGGTGACATACTAAGGATGGTTTAGCTCAAAACACTAAGGCCTACCTATTTTGGAATAAGGGAATGGATTATAAAATTAAATCCTACTTATATTTAAGTCAGATCAACTGAGTAAGTTGAGTGACTAACTGGATTATTTGTTAATTGTGTTTAAGTCAAATCAACTGAATAAGTTGAGTGAATAACTGGATTAATTGTTATTTATGTCAGATCAATGAACAATTGAATGACATACTCTGGTTTTGGATGGATTTTAAATATATGATTATGGTACCACGATTTGAGCTTGAGTCTCAGAATCAATGGTTAGGGAGCGTATATGCATTGGGATGCATAGCTGACTATGATGGTTAAGGTGTACCATGTTAGGTCTAGGTACTCATGCCCACCTCTGGTGCATTTTGCATGTTGCCTTCTATTCAGGTTGAAACCCCCCTTTGTAGTCAAGTGAGAGTCCCTTAGTGTGGATATATATATGTATGGACTAGATAGATATTGTTGAGATATTTAGGATGTATCTGCATATCAGGTCTCTGTTTGGATTGTAGTTAGAATAGAACTTGTTCATGGCCTGACCTATTATCATTTTTCTCAGGTGTTCGACAGTTCCAGCCGTAAAGCTTGATCGTGCTGAGCAGAAACAGTCACTCATTCCTCCGACTACGTAGGATTCTTACTTATGTTTTAGATTTGGATTTTATTTTCAGTAATTCGTTTCCAGTTGGGTTTTTATTTAGGGGTCCACTAGATGGATTCCCGAGTTGCTACCTTGGAGGTTTTGGATTGTCAGATTATTATAATTATTTAATTTTGAGGATTTAATATTTAGAAATCTTTTAACTTTATTATTTATTCATTAAATTCTTTTGTATTCTGTGTTCAATTAAATATTAATTGTTTGGTATTCCCTCGGGTTTGGGCTTGGGCCTGATCAACTCATGTCTCGGAGTTGAGGGGTATCACAATGATGGAAGTTTTATATCTCAATCAAAGTATGCAAAGGAGCTAGTTAAGAAGTTTGGTATGAAAGATTCAAAGCATATTCAAACTCCTATGAGTACTTCATCCAAATTGGATAGAGAGACTCTGATCCTAATAAGGTTGATCATTTCTTGTATAGGAGTATGATTGGTAGCTTGTTGTATTTAGCAGCAACTAGGCCACATATTTCATTTAGTGTAGGTGTTTGTGCTAGGTATCAAGCTGATCCTAGAGAACAACACATTCTTACAGTCAAGCGCATTATTCGTTATGTCAATAGTACATTGAATTATGGATTGCGTTATTCTTCTGAGTCTAACTCTGAGATTCCATGCTATACTGATGCTGATTGGGCTGGAAACAAGGATGATAGAAAAAGTACTTCAGGTGGTTGTTTCAATGTTGGTACTAATCATGTTTCATGGTACAGCAAGAAGTAAAATTGCATATCTTTATCATCTTGTGAGGCTGAATACATTGCTGCTGGAACTTGTTGCACACAATTACTTTAGATGAAACAGATGCTTCTGGATTATGGAGTTGATCAAGGTACTATTTCTATCTTTTGTGATAATACTAGTACAATAAATATTTCAAAGAATCCAGTTTTGCATTCTAGGACTAAACACATTGACATTTGACATCACTTTCTTAGGGAACTTGTTGAACAAAATGTCGTGTCTTTGGAAAAAGTGCATACTGATCAGAATTTGGCTGATATTCTCACTAAGCCATTAGATGCTCTTAAGTTTTCTCATTTTAGGAAATCTATTGCTGTCTGTTGTCTTAATTAGATGCAGTGCAAAGATATAGTCTAGAAAAGATCTTCATACGTATATTGAGAGTCTAGATTATGTTTTTGGGAAGTTAAGCAAACCATATTGATTGAGTATGTTGAACACAAGGAGTTTAATGACACATGGATTATCTGTGGAAAGCATACAATGACTATGAATTGATGAAATTGGTTTTGCTTACTTGTTTCATATAGTAAATGAATCATTGATAGTACATTTACTTGAGATGTCATTGTTTTGGTTAAAGATAATGTTGATATGATTGATCATTGTCTTGGGATTTAAACTTGCTTTATGTGTTTTAGACCAAAAGAGTGAAAAGGAAAAGAAAATTGAAACACAGCTTGGAAGGAAAAAAAAAAAATTGAAAAAAAAAAAAATATTTACTGTTTAGAAAAAGGTGAGATGGAAAAGGCTACCTTTGGATTTGTCCGGAAGCTACTTTGACTCGAAAGAAATGGGAATAAGGGAAAGAGCTGGCTGCCCATAAGCGTGAAAGCCGCCAATGTGCAAAATGAAAAATGGAGCACAAAAAGAGATAAAAATATATATATATGTCTTTTGCACATGTTGATTGTTTGACTTCTGAGGATATGTAATAACATTGATTTATTATCTGAAATCTGAACAATTGACAGATTATATGTTTTTGGAACTTGGTGGTGATTTTACTACACTTATTAAGTTTGTGGAACTTCATTGAATTGATCTTGGTTATTTCTATTGATACATATAATCTTGTGGAGTCAAAATTCTCAATGATTTCAATTTACAAGATTTATATGGTTGGTTGCTACCTACTTCTAGGATTTTTCTTCCGTGAGACCCTTGTTCATTTGTGACAAAAGGGGGAGATATTTAAGGTTTTGTGTCTATGATTTAGGGGGAGAGATTCTTTTTGCATTGAGGGGGAGAACCATTGGTCATTGCATTGTCATTCAGACATTTTTAGCTTTGATATTTTATGCTTGTGTTTATTTTCTTGATTAAGCTTCACAGGTAGTTGTGTTTGAGCTAATGTGCAGATTACAGATTGCTACGTGTGTTGCGTTGAAGCTTCATGAGATTCAAGAAAATTTTTGCGTTTTATTTCCTTTAACAATTAATGTAATTTACTTTCCTGCTTGGGTAGATTGCTGAATTGTTTTTAGGGTTTTGTCACGAAATTGCCAAAGAGGGAGATTGTAAGATATATATTTTGTAATTGGCTTATTTCGTTGACAAAACAAGTCCGATCGAGTTGTAAGTTTTTGGTTCTAAGGTTGAAGATCGGATACGGATTTGAAAAAATTCAAGTGTTCATGATATACTACACTTCGAGATAATGAGAACGATGCTCTAAGAAGGTTGAGAGGTAGTGAGAACAGTTAGGAAGGGTTCTGGAAGGTTTGGAACAAGTTTAATTGCAAAATTTCAACACTGGTCATCTTGAACCGGTTCAAGAAGGCTAAACCGGTTCAAGAATCCATGGGATTCTTTACTGTCCATCTTAAACCAGTTCAAGATGGCTGAACCGGTTCAAGAAGTCCTGGATGCATCAGGTTTCCAAGTTTCCATGTTCAGATGTTTCCTTTTTGATCCCAGCTTCCTTCCAAATCCTATGCACGAAATTTATCATATTTTCTAAGGGATTAGGACTTTCAAAATTTTATATAAACCATGCCATATACATTTGTTGATGGACGGCTTTAGGGAAAATCAATTCTATATTTTGAGAAAGCCATTAGAGAGAGAAAAATACAGAAAATCAAATCTAATAATTCTGAATTTTTTTTTGAGAGCACACATATTTATTCATGACTGATTTAGTTATAGTGTTCTCTATCTCATCGGAATTGGAGTTATATTGAAGATTTAGATATTCTGGATGATCAGCAGGATTTAATTCTTCTACAATCAAGTTTAGATCTTGAAGAACAGAAGTAAACGCAGTCACACTTTGGAAAGGTTCAAGCATTTGTGGAGTGTTATCTGATCTACCTGCTACTCTTAATATCAAGTGTAAGCACGAGGTCAAGTTGTTGTTGGACGGGGAGTCGCAAAGTCAGAGGGTCGTCAGCGATTGGTGTGGTGTAGAACGATAGGGTGTGAGCCAAAGTCAAAGTTCAGTATACTTTTTTCAAACATAGTGGATTGGTTTACTTTGGACTACACAGTCCACTAGGTTTTTCCCATAACAGTTGACGTATTTTATCAATTGGGGCTTCCTCGCTAAAAATCCTGGTGCAATCTCTCTAACTCTAACTTGCTTTACTTTTCATATATTTGCGATTATGGATGTTTAAATTGGTCATTTAATTTAATCAATCATAAATCGAGCAAGTTGACCTAATAATCAGATCTAGGTCATTAAAGGAGTTAATCACAAAAATCAATTGACTATTTCCACACCCCGCGTAACTCTTGTTTTCCAATATAGGGTTCATATATATATATATATATATATATATATATATAGGGGGGTTCAGATATATATAGCAGTAGCTATTTGTTATGCCACATTATATATATAGGGGGGTTCAAATATAAATAGCAGTAGCTATTTGTTGTGCCACATTATACATATACATATACATATATATCTTGAACCGGTTCAAGAAGTCCTGGATGCATCAGGTTTCCAAGTTTCCATGTTCTGATGTTTCCTTTTTGATCCCAGCTTCCTTCCAAATCCTATTCACGAAATTTATCATATTTTCTGAGGGATTAGGACTTTCAAAATTTTATATAAACCATGCCATATACATTTGTTGATGGACGACTTTAGGGAAAATCAATTCTATATTTTGAGAAAGCCATTAGAGAGAGAAAAATACAGAAAATCAAATCTGATAATTCTGAATTTATTTTTGAGAGCACACATATTTATTCATGAGTGATTTAGTTGTAGTGTTCTCTATCTCATCGGAATTGGAGTTGTATTGAAGATTCAGATATTCTGGATGATCAGCATGATTTAATTCTTCTACAATCAAGTTTAGATCTTGAAGAACAGAAGTAAACGCAGTCACACTTTGGAAGGGTTCGAGTATTCGTGGAGTGTTGTCTGATCTACCTGCTACTCTTAATATCAAGTGTAAGCATGAGGTCAAGTTATTGTTTGACGGGGAGTCGCAAAGTCAAAGGGTCGTCAGCGATTGGTGTGGTGTAGAACGATAGGGTGTGAGCCAGAGTCAAAGTTCAGTATAATTTTTTCAAACATAATGGATTGGTTTACTTTGGACTATACAGTCCATGAGGTTTTTCCCATAACAGTTGACGTATTTTATCAATTGGGGCTTCCTCGCTAAAAATCCTGGTGCAATCTCTCTAACTCTAACTTGCTTTACTTTTCATATATTTGCGATTATGGATGTTTAAATTGGTCATTTAATTTAATCAATCATAAATCAAGCAAGTTGACCTAATAATCAGATCTAGGTCATTAAAGGAGTTAATCACAAAAATCAATTGACTATTTCCACACCCCGCGTAACTCTTGTTTTCCAATATAGGGTTCATGTATATATATATAGGGGGGTTCAGATATATATAGCAGTAGCTATTTGTTATGCCATATTATATATATAGGGGGGTTCAAATATAAATAGCAGTAGCTATTTGTTGTGCCACATTATACATATACATATACATATATATCTTGAACCGGTTCAAGAAGTCCTGGATGCATCAAGTTTCCAAGTTTCCATGTTCTGATGTTTCCTTTTTGATCCCAGCTTCCTTCCAAATCCTATGCACGAAATTTATCATATTTTCTGAGGGATTAGGACTTTCAAAATTTTATATAAACCATGCCATTTACATTTGTTGATGGACGGCTTTAGGGAAAATCAATTCTATATTTTGAGAAAGCCATTAGAGAGAGAAAAATACAGAAAATCAAATCTGATAATTCTGAATTTATTTTTGAGAGCACACATATTTATTCATGAGTGATTTAGTTGTAGTGTTCTCTATCTCATCGGAATTGGAGTTGTATTAAAGATTCAGATATTCTGGATGATCAACAGGATTTAATTCTTCTACAATCAAGTTTAGATCTTGAAGAATAGAAGTAAACGCAGTCACACTTTAGAAAGGTTCGAGCATTCGTGGAGTGTTGTCTGATCTACCTGCTACTCTTAATATCAAGTGTAAGCATGAGGTCAAGTTGTTGTTGGACAGGGAGTCGCAAAGTCAGAGGGTCGTCAGCGATTGGTGTGGTGTAGAACGATAGGGTGTGAGCCAGAGTCAAAGTTCAATATACTTTTTTCAAACATAGTGGATTGGTTTACTTTGGACTACACAGTCCACGAGGTTTTTCCCAAAACAGTTGACGTATTTTATCAATTGGGGCTTCCTCGCTAAAAATCCTGGTGCAATCTCTCTAACTCTAACTTGCTTTACTTTTCATATATTTGCGATTATGGATGTTTAAATTGGTCATTTAATTTAATCAATCATAAATCGAGCAAGTTGACCTAATAATCAGATCTAGGTCATTAAAGGAGTTAATCACAAAAATCAATTTACTATTTCCACACCCCACATAACTCTTGTTTTCCAATATAGGGTTCAGATATATCTATATATATATATATATATAGATAGATAGATAGATAGATAGGGGGGTTCAGATATATGTAGCAGTAGCTATTTGTTGT